CACTATAAGAGATATAGTCTTTAACGAAGACGAGATATTTAACGGTAGGATTAAAACGCTATAAGCTATGGCTTCCGCCGAGGAAATCGGGGAACGCCTATAATCTATCCGTATCACCTATACCACGACCGCGAATAGGCTACTATTAAGGGGTATAGCTATAGACGTATTAGATCTTAAGTCGAAAGACTTTTACGCCACCGCTATTACTACGGATAAAAGCGAGGTTATCGCTATTACTACGAGAGAGACCACTACTATTACTATAGACTACACCGCTATTACTATGGGTACCGCTATTACTACGGATACTACTATTACTATAGAAGAAGACTATACTACCGCTATTACTACGGATAAAGGCAAGGCCGTCGCTATTACTATAAAAGAGGCCACTACTATTACTATAGACGAGGTTCTAAATCTATAGCCTAATAACTAGACTATAGATTTAAATCTTTATAACTCTAACGCTACCGCTATTATTACGGGAGAGGCTACCGCTATTACTACGGACACTTCACGGTTCACTACTACGAAGTTTAAACCGTTTTCCACGCCTCTAATATTCCCTAAAGATCCCGCGCGCGCGTTCCTTATAGCGTTAGCGGTGGTTAGGGGCGCTAAGGTAGAAGAACACGATAACCACTAACGGATAGCTATAGGTGCCCTTAGGGGGTGCCCGTCGGCTATACTCCTATCGGCCGCACGCCTATTACCCGCGCGCCTATCTATCGCGAGAACTATCGTAAGTCTATACACGACCGAGAAGGTCTAGAATAATAACGCCTAAAAGGCGTTCTTTAACGCTAGCAGGACTTATAACCCTATACGTATAAGGAAGTAAACTATTAACGACGACGATATCGGTGCTATAGATTCCCCTTATACCTCCTAGCCGCTATCGCTATCGTATATAACCCGCGAGGATCTCCCGCCTTTACTAAACTACTACTGCGATATACGTCTCTATCCGTTATAAGAGCGGTGGTTATAGGCCGAGGGGGAATAGCTTAAGGGGCACCGATAGATAGGCTACTAGTAGGAGGTAAGTGGTAATCAGGCTAATAAGTAATAAGTCCTCGCCTATAGATAGGTATACACCTATAAATTTAATCAGGAGGGCACCCTCCTTAAGTAGAAGGCACGCCTTATAGTCCGAGGGGATTCATAAAAACGGTTAGAGACTAAAGATAACTACGCCGTAACGCTAGCCTCACGGTCTTTCCGTATACTAATAGCGATCGCCGCCCGATTTAACCTAGAGATAAGGCAGTTCGATACCGTTAACGCGTTCGTTAATGCCAGCCTTAAAGAAAAGGTGTTTATAAAGATACCGTAAGGCTATAAAGTACCAGGCAAGGTCCTACTACTACGGAAAGCCCTCTTCGGTTTAAGGGTATTGCCACTACTATAGTAAGAGGAATTTAGCGGCACGCTATAGAGGATAGGCTTTATAGCCGTCCCTAATAACCCCTATATTATAATCTGCGATAGTTTAATCCTATTCTTCTACGTTAACGATATCGAACTTATATACTATAAAGACCGTAAGACGGACGCCGATAACCTTAAGGCTGCCCTTAAACGAAGCTATAGGTTATTAGGAGGCGAAGAAATCCGTTAGTTCCTAGGAATTAAGGTCCTAAGGGATAAAGCCACCCGTAGGTTATAGCTATTATAGTCCTCCTACGTGGAGAAGATCGTGGTTAAATACTACGTAGATATACTCTACCGAAAACTACTAAAAGTCCTATTATCTACGGAGCCGGTAATACCCCGAGACGGCACCCGCGCGTTGATTCCCGAGGTCCGTTAGTATTAGGGAATAATCGGTTCTATCCTATACGCCGCTATCGTGATAAAACCCGATATCGCGTTCGCCTACTCGAAGCTTTCCTAATATAACGTTAACCCCTCCTCTAACCACCTTAAGAGGGCTTAATAAGTGCTGCTATTCCTATACTATATAAGATACTACTACCTAGAATTCGACGGGGATAGGCTTTTCCTAATAGTAATCGACGCGTCCTTTAGGGATAATCCAGACCGTAAGAGTTCGTAAGGATATACGATAAAGCTTTTTGGCGGTACCGTTAACTAGAAAGCGGGTAAAGAACCGATAATCACGACGTCGTTAATAGAATTAAAATTACTCGCTCTTATAAAGGCCGCTAAAAAGACGTTATTTATTAGCCGGATATTAAGGGATTTAGAGCTTCGGCTAGGCTAATAATAGCTGCAGCTACACTACGATAATTAATAGACTATTAACCTTAATAATAAGAAGGCATAACGCCTACGGATAAGGCTATAGCACGTCGATATATATAACTAGTAGGCGCGCTAGTTAGTATAATAAGGTCTTTTTAAGGTTACGTACGTTAATACGAAGGAGATAATCGCGGACGGATTAACGAAGGCACTACCGGAGGCGGGGATTAAAAGACTATAGTAATAGCTTAATTTAACTAATTAAAAGGATCGTATTAAGTAGTCTAAACGACTATATAAAGAGATTAAATGCGCTAAAGCGGCTATAATAAAGGCTCCCGAGGGCGTAGTAGATCCGATAAATATAGATCTAATTAATCAGATCCGGCTAATTAGGATCGAGGAACTAATTAAGATAGAATTAAATTAAACGGTTAAATAGGGCGGACTTAGATCCCTTTTACGAGGGCGTTTTCCCTTAACTATTAATTTTACGATAGAAAAGTTAAGAGCGTTTAGTTTAAACCGAAGCCTTTAATTAGTTAGTTAACCTAGGAAGACCCACCTTAACTAAGGGGGTGTATCGTAAAGGCAGGACCACGATATAGTCTATAGGGGATCTAGGGGGGATCCACTCTATAACTAAGGGCTCCGGATATCGGGGACTTTAGGTATTAGGATATAATAAGGGTGGATACCGGAAAAGACCGGATAGGATCTAAATGATTTAGTATCTATAATAGAGTCTTTACCACCTAAATTAAGGGTATAAGAGACTCTCCTAGATATAACTTAACATAATACACACACACGAGATTTCTGCTCTACTAAGTTGATCATTCAAGTGCCTATTTGACGTGCGATATTTCCACATCGCCTGCAGCTAACTAAGCAGTGGCTGGTATTCCTAATATAGCACAAATTACCTACGAATACTAATGGATTATCCATACCTCCGTAGGGCAGACGGTCCACGGAGGTAGGAGAGGGGTAAAGATCGCGGGACATTCCGCGCGGCGGATATTCTCGCTGTTAATACCTCAGGCAAGTCTTGCGTCCTTGCCTCGGTGGATGGTTTGCACAAGGCATGTTTCCATACTTTCTCGTCATCCATGCATCCTCCAACCCAACGTTATATGGAGCCTGGCCGAGCACTGTGCTATACTTGATTCTCGATAGCCACTGGACCTTTCTTCACCTAAGTTGGCGGACAATATAATATGAACGCCTTCGCGATTATTCTGGAAGGGAGATGGAAGATCACTCTCGATATAGGTCCCCCCCATCGAAACTCGCGAGAAAGCCAGTCGACTCGGTCAAGGCGTAGGCGCCTCACCTACTACCACGTGTACAAGGTACCTTAATTACCACTAGCGCGGTTCGTTCTAAATATAACACCAGGTATCCACAGTACATGTATCCACAGACATCCAGGTACGATGTACCCGCCCGTCCCTTTCTCCGGGGTACCTAAGGTACTTCGTCAAGCCATTTCTTCAACGTCCACACTCGCATATTTCCATCCACCACCCCAGCGACCATGTCCTCTGACTGTTGGGGTAACGGACGCTTTGGCGATGTCGGCACTAGAAAGTCGAAGTCTACAGCCAGCATATCGAAGGCAGGGAAGATCACAGACGATCACGGGCCCCATCGGCCAACGACACAAACCCCAGCCCCCGAAGCCACTTGACGCCAAACGGGTGTTGCTATGATGGAGTCCTGACTGAGCCGCACGAGCTCCGTCAAATGAACCCCCACGGTTGGGTCGGCAATGCCTAGGCACGTCGATCCGTTCGAGGATGACTGAACATTACATACTCACATACTACCCAGGCAGGGCTGAAGATGTGGTCCACTGACGGAATTCTGTACACTGATCTAACCCTTCCGGAAACACCTGACGTCAATTATGGCGGAGCCGGGCGGTCGTCCCCTCCACCACACGAGCAAAATTTAGAAGTTCTAACTCGGACGTGGTGTCGAGGCCAAGGAGGCCAAGCCGTTCCCGAAGAACGCCGGAGCACCAAGGATCTTCGTCGGCGTCCGATCCCACAGGAATTGCGGGACCCGCCATTGGAGCTTATTGTAGACCACCGTACAAAAGAAGTAATGACGCTCAAGTCACCAGGTAGAAGTCCGGCTTCCTTTATTCGTCCGCTTACCGCATTCTCCCTCTCACATCGACTTGGGAGTCCCGAGTCCTTCACAGCGGACACGGAAGTTTCCTTCTCCCACGTGGAGATATACAGACTACGCGTTGCATCGCCCAGTTGAGCTGCCTAGAAAGGACATGGATCATGCTCCCCCCCCGGGACGGGACTCCGGGAGGTGAGGAACAGCGCATTACAAACGAGCAAGTCTGGCCAATATTTCTCCTTCAACCCCTGCCGTTTCCGTTTGCCCAGAGAAGTCTGTTTGTTCTTAACCGCATGCCTTGCCTCTGCCATCCCCCAAGCCACGTGGCTTACCTTTCCGCTCCCTCCCCACGTCCTCCCGTCCTGGCTCTGTGTTACTCTGGCATACAAAGAATGCTTTACTCCCTCGCCCTAGACATTCCATCTCCTTTTGGCTTGTCCCGTCTCTTCGGTCATCTCGCTGTCCAGAAACCACAGAAGAGTTGAAGTTATCCTAAAGCGTCGACTGCGTCCCTGTCGTGCTTCTGTCGTGCTTCGGGGCTCTCACCCCCTCCCCCCCTCCGACTCGCCCTCGCCCTCCTAGCTCCCCATCTTCTCACCCGACCATCAAAACGTCGTGCGGTTTGAACTTGCTCGACCGTCCACACAATGTCCACCACCCAGCCACCAGAAATCAACCCAAACAACCCCCTAGCGGGCGTGGGCCAAAGCCTCGACCGCACCGGCTTCCTCGTCCTCCTCTGGATCCTCTTCTCCGTCGCCACCCTCTTCTTCTTCCTCCGCCTCGTCGTCCGGTGGCGGCAAAACAGCAGCTTCGTCGCCGATGACTACTGGATCTCCTTCGCCTTCCTCTGCCTCGTCGTCTACGTCGCGCTGCAGATGCAGCAGATGGACTCTCTCTGGTACATGACCTACCTTCGGTCCCACCGCATCGCCGAGAGCGAAGAGACGCCGCGCCAGGAAAACGAGCTTCTACGGTGGCAGTTTCCTCTCATCGTCCTCTTCTGGTCCGTCCTGTGGTCCGTCAAGGCGAGCTTTATGGCCGCCTTTTACCGAATCGTTGCACCCCTCACTCTCTACCGCCGCTTGTGGTATGGCGTCGCCGTCTTCACCGCCCTGTCCTATATCGCCTGCTGGGTTTCTGTCCTCGTGACATGCGACTCGCCCGGCGACTATTTTGCCGGTATGTGAACTGAACCCCACTGCCCCTTCTTTTCTTTTCTCCCCCCCTTGTGTCTCTTGCGCCCGCTTTGAACCTGGGAGGGACGCCCCGCTGAACACCCCAAAAAGGAAAATGTCACTCGGAACGAGAAATGCGCCGCCAGCGCGACAGCATCATCTTCTCCAGCACCATCGACATCACCACAAGCCTCATGATCCTCGCCCTCCCCGTCGCCATCCTGCCCCGCCTGCAACTCGACACCCGCAAGAAAATCGGCCTGGGCATCGCCTTCAGCCTAGGCGGCATCACCGTCGGCGTCACCGCCGTCCGCCTCGCCCGCGCCCTGCCGGCGGGGAACATGGACCTCCTGGCCCTCGCGGTCTGGGGCTGCGTCGAGGCCTCGGCCGCCGTGCTCGTCGGCTCCATCCTCCCGCTCAAGGCCCTCCTCTCGCGCCGCGTGCGCAAGTACCGCTCGTCGGGGGGCCGCATGCTGGTCAAATCGAAGGGCCGCCCCTCGAAGGGCTCGGCGAGCACGAGCATCGCTACCCGGGGCACGAATACGCCTACTGACACGGACATGGAGGAACGGGAGGTCGGGTACGACGGCGGCAGCGCCGGGTCCCGCACGGTCATGGCGCGGGCTGCGGCCGTGTTGCCGCTTCCCGATGCGCATCGTGGGAGCGCGTTTAATGGGGGTATATACGTCCAGCACACGTACGAGACACGGGTGGAGCTCGAGGGGGACTTTCCTTCGCGTGGTGGTGATGATGGTGATGATGATGAGGTTGCTATTGTGAAGCCGAGGCCGAGGGGTGATGTATAACATGGAGTTGAAATTATGTCCTTGTGGGATCACGGTGATGTGAGGCCGTGGACGGATTTATACCACGCCTTTTGGTCGATTTTTTCTTCCCTATACGAGCCAAGGGAACGGAGTTCAGAGGTCAAAGAAGGGTCTGGCGTTCACTCATCTTTTCTGGACCGAGCGGGGGAACTGCTCTGAAAGCAGTGATATACCTGCTGGGCCCGAGTCTTCGACAAAACGGTAGGCTAGCTATGTGATGGCTTACTGCAACGTATGTATTACTATATTTTGGTGGTCGTCTAGCTCAGGGACGGACATGCCACTAGAGCCAGTTTTTATAATGAATAGCAATGCAAGATCCACGTTCAATTCAAGTCAGAGTTGTCTGTGCGGAAGGGCCACACATTCAAAGTCTTCCCACTAGGCAAGCAGAAGAAGGGTAGAAGACGCAACATCGGTTTTCTTGCCAAGGTAGTCTCGCCGGCCCAGCTGCCAATCCATCCTCATACAATCTAACCGAATCCCGCGGCCCGCGCCGCCTTGCTGGATGAAATGAAGCTCCTAAAATAACCTATGCAGCCAAGGTCTGCAGAAGACAGTAATGCGGGGTTCGTTCGTCTTCGTATCACCAGGAGGACGGGAGAACATGCCAACAAGTAATTATCTGTTATTCATGGTTGGCCCTCGGGACACACGGCAAAGTATCAGCTGTTTGGCCATGTGAGGAAGGACACGCAAGACCGAGCGGGGATCAACGAGAGATCGATCTAATAGAAAAAAATAAAGAAGAGAAAAGAGAAAAGAGAAAACTTGTTCCGCAGTGAAGGACGAAAAGCTTCTCTCGTAGACCTTGACTCATCAGAATGGAAGCCCACTTGCACTTGGGTTTGAGGAGAGTGTGTTCCCGTTGCAGCTACAGTGGGTGGTGGATCTAACAGATCTATATTGACTTTTATCATGATTTCGCATGGATGACCGGGCGTCGTTCTGTTTGCTTCTTCATTTTCTCTCAAACCGCTTCATAAACGGAACGTGCATATGTGTAAATTGCGTTGGCTATAACCGTGTTATCATCACCGCTGAGGCGAGACTCCTACTCGTCAGAATCCTCGTTCCAAGAACTCGGTAAGCTCCCCACATGCACGTGGTTGCATGGGGACCTCGGGGAGCACCCGGGAGGGGAAATTGCTACCAAGTACATGTACTTCGTAATTACCTGCCAACAAGGCACGAAGCGAGAATTTGGGGGAAACATATGTAACACGGGGAAGTCGAACTCAGGTAGTTTCCTCTAATGTGAAGATGCTCGCTTCGACTGGAGTCGACAATTGGCCTTTCCTTTATCGGTTCATTGACGAGTGTTCGACTTACACCAACAGGCTTATGCACAATATGCAATCGTCTCGTCCCGCCTGCTCTGCCGATGAAGAAAGTCTGGGCCAACGGTCCACACCCTCCCTCGCCTCGCACATCGCAGCCTGTGTTGTGCGGGTCTTTAGAGGCTGGGCCCAGAAAAAAAAGAAGAAGAAAAAGAGAAAAAGAAGAGGAAAAAAAAAGAGCTCCCGTAGGCTAACCGGGTAAAGTTTCTTGAACCGTAGACATTGCTTTTCTTTCACCCTGCATAACCACCATGCCACTACCCTCTACCCGTCGAATGGCTGCTCCATCGACAGGGCAGGTGTCTTGGTTTACCCATGCTGTCTTTAGCATCACAGATCCCTGAGATTCCTCAGCTCAGCACGGACTGGTTGAATTGCGGCTGACGATCCCAGTCAGCTCTGCCGCCCGATTCGACTAAACCCCAACACTTGAAAAAGCGAGGCGACACCCTCGCGAACGCGGCCCAAATCGCATGGTTCACTCCAGCACGCTTTTGTTTTCTTTTCCCCAAGGGACGGACCTACCTACGCATACAAGTAGAGTTCTGCGACGATATCGCGAGTCCTTCCACAAGACCTGCCCATCATGGAGGAGAAGAGCGCGACCCAACAACCCAGTACCGTGACCAGCGCGGTGTCCGAGATCGAGGACGACAACAAGGACGAGAACCCCCATGGCGTTACACCCGTTACCTCTGCTTTCGCCGACTGGAAGCGAGGTCCCCTCGTCAGGAAATTCTGGCGCCTCTACCTCACCGGCGTCATGGTCTGCGTCGGCGGCATGTATGTCTAGATACTCCAATACCATGGCCTACGTGTAACTTCTCTCAAAAGTTGCATTCACTTCCCCCGCCATCCTCTTCAACTGCGCCCCTTTCCAGGACGACGGGCCCTATCGGACACATTTGCTAATTGTTGCGCGTCTTTTCCCCCGTGCCATCTTCTCAGGTACATCGGCTACGGCAACTCGGTCGTAGGTAGCATCATCGCCAACCGTGGCTTCGTCCAGCAGTTCGCCACTGTCACGAACCCCGACACGGGAGAACCCGACCTTGACGCCCACCATCTTGGTCTCTGGAACGGCCTCAATTTCGTCGCTCAGATTGTCGTCCAAATGATCTCCCCGTTCACCGCCGACCGATGGGGACGCAAGTTCAACATGTGGGCGTTCACCTTCTTCCTCACCTTGGTATGTCTATGTCCCATCACTCTACTCTCCCCCCCCACATCACTCCGCTAACCATTACACGACTAAAAAGTCCATCATATTCGAAATAGTCGCCCAAGAATGGATCATGATCCTCTGGTCGCGCATCCTAGGCGGTTTCGCCGGCGGCCTCCTCGCCACCTCCATCATGACCTACATGTCCGAGATCTCCCTCCCGCAGTTCCGCGGCGCCCTCCTCGGCAGCTTCTCCCTCTTCTTCGCCCTGGGCCAGGTCTTCCTAGCCATCGGCCTCAAGGTCCTCGAGGACACCGACCCCTTCAACTTCCGCAACGTCTTCTACTCCGAGTTCGTCTTCTTCGGTCTCTGGCTCGTCCCCCTGGTCTACCTCCCCGAGTCGCCCGCCTGGTACGCCGCCCAGGACCGCGACGAGGACGCCAAGCGGTCCCTGCGCCGCCTGGTCGGCCCCGTCGACGGCTACGACCTCGACCACGAGTACGCCGTCGTCAAGTTCGAGGTCGCCCAGTCCGCCCGCCTCGCCCGCGCACGGGGCTCCGACTGGCGCGCCCTCGCGTCCCCCGTCAACCTGAAGCGCATCGTCATCGCCACCTTGCCCTTCACTTTCCAGAACTTCGTCGGCGTGCCGCTCATCTTCGGGTACACGACCTACTTCCTGCAGCTCGCCAACGTCGCCGATCCGTTTCTCGGGAATCTTATGATCCAGCTCATCCTCGTCGTCGGCATCGTCTCCGCGTTCTACTTTATCGACATCGTCGGCCGCCGTAGCCTCGTCATCTGGAGCGGTGCCGCCATGGGCGCCATCTGTCTTGTCATCGGCGGCTTGGGGTTCATGGGCCCCAACACTACTTCCTCTGGTATTGGTCTCGTTACGCTGTGTTGTGTTTGGGCCTTTGTTTACGCCAATTCGCTGGCTCCCATTGGTACGTGACCCCACGGGTTCTTTGATGTCTTTCCGTTGGCAGGCCAGCCCAGCTAATAACCATTTCTGACTTGCTGGTATCCAGGCTGGATCAGTCTGGTGGAAGTGTCCTCGCCACTTCTCCGTGCCAAGACAGCTGCTGTCGCCGCCATCATCCAGTCTCTCAGCGGTGTCCTCTTCGTATGTTCCTCCCCAATTTTTTTTTCTTTATTTTTTTTTTCTTTTCCCCTCAGAATAATGTCCCATGCCATGTGACAAGCGTTGCCCAGAAGCGCCCATTAGGTATGATATATGCTAACATAGGTGGTCCACAGAACTATACCGTTCCCCTCATGCTATCAAACCAAGGCGCCAATTGGGGACAAAGGATCGGCCTCTTCTTCGGTGGTATCACCTTTGCCTACCTCGTCCCCGTTCTCTTCCTCTTCCCCGAGACCAAGGGCCGGACCTACCAGGAGCTTGACGAGCTGTTCGAGCGCCGTATCCCCGCTTGGCGGTTTCACGAGACCAAAACGGCGCACCAGACCGGCGTTGAGATGCGGTTGGGGGGGCATTGAATGAGCGCCGAAACTTGTCTGGTGAAAGCCGTTTCTTTTTTCCGTGCTGTTTCCAATGTTCGAATAGCGTGTGTTTTATTGGGAAAGTTTTCGGATAGCGATTCTGCTTAGTTGTAGTTATAACACGACGAGCTCCGTCTTTTCTTGACGGAATATAAAAACGCAGGGCCTTTGGGGTTCCGGGGTCAAGGTGATGCTGCCTTGTGTGTCGTCTGCGTTATTCGTAGCGTAGCGCATCTGTAGACATACGCCGAGACGATTTGACCCCAGCTATCTATATCTATATCTTTGCCAATCTGGTTCAACCCAGGTCCTTGAGACAAAGGCAACTGATGGTCTTCCTCATCGGCATCGTGCCTGTCATTGCAATTCAGAAACCCTCTGAGAACCATGGGGGCGAGCTTCGATATACACAACAAAGGGATGAGACATCGCATGATCTTCGACCGGCCTCTCGCTTGGCGAAATGTTAAGGGACGGACGCAGGCAGACACCGGCCTTCACCGACGAGGGATGTCGGTGAGTCCAGGTGTACAAGTTCGATGCCCGGATGACCAAGGAGACCCACGAATACCCGGTGCAAGCCGAGTCAACATTATCCACGTCTCACGTCATAGGTCACTGGCAGCGCGTCCTCGGCATTGGCTTTCGTCTCGGGTCAATTCTTCCTAATTCCTACCTGGGGGTAATTGTTCAACTTTCAACCCCACCCCTCACCTCCAATTCAACCCACCGCTAAAAATTACTAGCCCTTTTCGAAGATGTCGCCTCGTCTCCCTCTCCGCTTCACCCTCCGCACAATCCGGGCGTCGCCGAGGCTATACTCGACAGCCACGGCCGCCGATTCGACAGCACCGCTCATCAATGTGACGCTGCTCCCGGCCCCCAACTCGGGCCACATCCGCATCCTGGAACTCAACCGCCCGTCCGCGCGGAACGCCATCTCCAAGGCCCTCCTCTCGCAGCTGCGCGCCGAGATTGACGCCGTTCACTCGCAATATGACGAGCACGGCGACGAGATCCCACCGCCCCGTGTCTTTGGCGGCGCCGCGGGGCTCGACGAGAAAGGCCCAACGCGGGCGCTCGTCATCGCCAGCGCCCTCGACACCAGTTTTTGCGCTGGAGCCGACCTGAAGGAGCGGAAGAGCTTCACCCAAGCCGAGTGCGTCTAGCCAAGATTCCCCAATTTCGAAAAAGAAGAAAAGATGAAAAAAGAAGAAAAAAGAAGAAAAAAGAAGAAAAAAAGACTGCTAATCAACCCGGGCGAATCATGACTACAGCACTACCGAATTCCTCACCAACCTCCGCGGCACCTTCGCCTCCCTCGCCTCCCTCCCCATCCCCACCATCTCGACCATTTCCTCCCTCGCCCTCGGCGGCGGCCTCGAGCTCGCCCTATCAACCCACCTCCGCGTCCTGTCGACCAACGCCGTCGTCGGCCTCCCCGAGACCCGGCTGGGCATCATCCCCGGCGCGGGCGGCACCCACCGCCTACCGGCCCTGATCGGGCTCTCCCGCGCCCGCGACCTGATCCTGACGGGCCGCCGCGTCTCCGCCACCGAGGCCTACTTCCTGGGCATCGCCGACCGGCTCGTCGAGGTGCCGTACCCGGAGGATAAAGACGTGCCGGGCGTGAAGGAGGGCGAGAAGGCGAGCGACGAGGCGAAGGAGATGCTGTTCCTCAACGGGGCGCGGCGCGGGGTCATGAGCGAGGCGGTGAGGATGGCGACGGAGATTTGCGAGGGGGGGCCCGTGGCGGTGCGGGCTGCTCTGCAGGCGGTCGCTTGGGCCCGGGAGGAGATGGAGAATAAGATGTACGAGCGGGTCGTGGGCACCGAGGACCGGAACGAGGCGCTACGTGCCTTCCAGGAGAAGAGGAAACCCGTGTTTAAGGGCCGGTAATCTAAGCGTCCTTTATCGGAGCGCGAGGGACGATGTAGTGGAGATGTAAACATAGGAAGGGTGCGAGCGGGGAGGAGGGTATTCAGCTTGGAGCGAGTGTTAGATACGTGGTACGCATATGACCCGATCTACGGGTCTTTCTACGTATGGAATGATTAAATTGTAGGAGAAAAAGGAAAAACTCCGAATTCAATAAAATGAAGACCGAATTCAAGAAAAACAGTATCAAAGCATACAAAGTAAAAAGTTGAGTTGCCGGCATTGTTGCCGGCGTCAGGACAAGAAATATCGCGAAGAGCTTCCCTGTGGTCACTGGCGCTACCTTGCTCTACCTTATACCACCATAAACAAGGCCGAAACCAACAGTAAACGGGTACAAAACACGACCGTACCTGAGACATAACACATCAACCCGACGTTTTTATCAGAGTACTTCGTATTGATGTACCGAGCGCGATTCAAGTCCACAAGAAGCCCCAGAGCTCAGAGCTTTGTCACTGGTCAGAGCTGTTCCCCACCCCGGGAGTTACACAGCTACGGACAGTTACACACGTCATGGTAGAGCGAACAATGACATCACGACGGGCTCTTCCGCCATCATCCATCCTGTGTGGTTCCCTTACCCTCAATACATCACGTAGAATTAGGGTAAAGCGGGTAATAGAAGTACTGTAGTCGATGCTATTTAACACTTTCTTTCCCTCCGCTGATTCTCCTTTCCAGAGCTCACTACCTTATCAACCCCAAAAACCCAAACCACACCACTTCCGATACCAATTGTCGAAACGACAAGACACTCGACATAAACCCCCTCGTACATTCATCACACCAGCCAACACTAAAAATAACCACTTTCACCATGTCGTCTCTCATCCAGACCACCGCCCGCCGCACGGCGACCATGCCCATCTCCATCATCCGCACCGCCGCCCTCGCTCCCCGGATAGCAACAGTAGCGACCCGCCCTTTCACAACCTCGCCAACCCCCAACAAGTCCGCCACCGAGACCGTCAAGGACAGCCTAAAGAACGTCGACCGCAAGGTCAGCGATAAGATTGTCAATGGCATCAACCTCGGCTGTACGTCCCCCCCACCCCGTTACTTCCTCCTCTGGCCTACTACCTGTGCGCGCTTCCATGGCAGAAAGACGCACAAACAAAATACTGACTCCAACCCAAAATACTTATAGCCAAGGTCGCCGAAAAAGCCAAGCACATGACCGGCGACGCAGCCCACGACGTGACCCACGGCGAGACGGCCAGCAAGGCCAAGGGCAAGGCCGAGGAACTCGCCGGCGAGGCCAAGGGCAAGGCCTCCGAGATCAGCGGCGAGGCCACGGGCACTGCCCACGAAATGGCCGGGAAGGCCAAGGGAGCTGCGGAGGAGGTCAAGAAGCGCATGTAAAAAAAAAAAAGAATTTCGACTCTTTCCGACTCGACGTCATGCAATGACTGCGAGATGTTTTCTTAGCTCTTGGGGGTTGTTTCCACCATGATGGCTTCCTCCTGGTTTGCCGGCGTTATCTGTACATTAGTCGCCCTTTTTCGCTTCCTACCTATCAACCAATAGCAGCATGAATGGAGTCTTCGGTTCATGAAGAGATGATTGTCCTTCACGTGGCAACCTAATAGGAATGGCTAACCTGGTCGTCCCACGGCCTTGCGGGCACAAAAACTGATCCGGGACATATCAACCATCACTCACGCACATTCACACATCACAAAACGAGACGAAAAATGTACCGACGCAACCGCCTCCCAAACCCTTGCCCGAGTCCCCCACCCCATACAGTCTGGTCCGAAGACCATCCCGGCTTGGAAGGGCAGATATCCAGGACTCCGAAGGGCCAGGAAAGCAAAAGGTCAATTCGCAAGCCATAAAAGGCTCCAAACCACCCTTTCGCCCCCCCACCCGTAAAAACTCCCTACCAACGACACCTAGAAAGACGTCGAAAGGAAACGTCGGCTTCCGTCACAGGACGTACCGCCCGCCCAGAACCCAAGTCTCGCGACCCGGATCCGACGACAAAGGGGGGCTTCCATCGCTGTGACATGTTTGATCTCCCGCTCGGAATACAGAGCTGGTTCAAGGATGAATCTCGCCTTGTGCTCCACCGTGCCCTGCGGGTTTCTGGGTCTTGTGTTCTTCTGAGCACCACTCAGTCACATCACTGTCGTGCCGGGGCGACTCGTTGAGAGGCTCACCAACTCGCAAAAGAAAAAAGAAAAGAAAAAAAGAAGAAAGAAGAGAAAAAAAAGAAGAAAGAAGAAGAAAAAGAAGAAGAAAGGAAAAAACCCCGAGCATATGCACTGGACACACCGAATAAACACACCAGCCTGGAGAATGGGAACTAGGATGCGCGGGATGGCAGGTTGACCCATGGGTATCGTACACTTGTCGTCTGTCGCGTCTAAAATGATCTTGCCCTGTTTCGTCAGCCGGTCCGGTATTGCAAAAGAGACTAGGTCCACCTAATCATCCGCCAATCATGATTCCTCGAATAAGACCTTCTTCCGTCCACTACCCCTGTGATCCTCCATGTCTTCCAATGCGCGGTCGATCTCCATGATATCCAGCATCTCGGCCTCGATATCGCGACCCTCGACATCATCCTGTACGTCGGCGGCCGCATCAAGGTCAGCGAAACCAAAGGCCGACCTGGGCCGGCCGATGGGGAGCGTAAAGTCGTGCGTCTGGTCCCCATCCTCGTGCATGCCGGTACGATCGACACTGCCCGGGCCACCTGATCGCAGGCCACGCACGCTCCGTCTCTTGCTGACGCTGAGGTTGAAAGACACGTTCCTGGGCTTGTCGGGTCGCGGATGTACGGTGATAGCCGAGGGCGGCTCGGTCGGAGCGCCGCCTCGGTCGCTGAAAAGCCGGCGCCTCGTCGATACGATGCTGCCGGTAGCCTTGGCCCCCCCCGTCGCGCCCTCTTCCGCCTCTCGGACAATGACGAGGCGCGTCTCGCCCTGGACAAGGACTTCGACGCGAAGGCCGCCGTCGTTTTCCTGGAGTCTCGCAAAGTTGACGGCCGCACCGACGCCGCAGCAATGTTCCCCGAGCAGGCCGGTGCTCAGGTCCTGCAGACGGATCATCCGCGTCGGGACCGTGCCGCTGAACAGGTTCACGCCGCCGCCTGCGCTCCTCCGCAGCTGGGCGTCCCAGAAGCGGTACACGGCGGGGATGACGGAAACGTTGTCGAGGCCGCCGATCCACAGCACGACGCTTTCGTCCCCGGATCCCGAGCCGGAGCTTATCGCGGGCAAGGGAGTTACCACGACGCCGCCCCTGACGCTGGCCAGGCGTTCGGGCGCGGTGACGGCACTGAGCGACGCGGCCGCATCCCGACGAGTGTGCGGCGTCATGGGGACAAAATCCCCACCCGGCTTCGAACCGGCATTGGCACCGCGCAGGGGGCTTGTGCCTTCCACGTGACCGGTTACGCTGAACTTGGTGAGTGCAGCGCCTTGTATGCCAGAGCTCTGCTTGCCCAGGATGGTGGCACCTAGCGGACTCGCACCCTCCACGTCCCATATGCCCCATGTGCCGTCGGCCATGAGCACAAATATGGCACGTCCATGGGCGATCCAGGCTGCGTCGAGCATGGGTTTCCTAGTCCCCGTGGGGCGCACGAAGGGCTGATACAAGGAGAGAAGCCACGAGCCCTTGGAAGGGAATAGACCAGTCGCTTGGTCGTCGGACGGCAGGGAAGGGAGGGCGTAGTCGTAAATCCGTACGGGGTAGATGGAAGCAACGACGAGGAGTTGCGACAAGTTTGCCGGGTTGAAAGAAATCCCGGTCAGAGGACTCGGAAGGAGTTCGGTCTGAAATGGTTTGACACGACCACTGTCGGCCTTGCCCGTCCGGGGGTTCAGAGGGACGTCCCAGAAACGCAGGACACCTGTGGCTTCCCGGTTATGAGAGGCGACGATGAGATGTGGCTGGGGTACGGAATCAGACGAGCCGGCTTGGTCTTCCGCGCGGTCCGGCACGGTGGAGCCTTTCTCTGGTTTCGCAAAGGTCAAGGCGATGCCACTGCTCTGCTTCGACTGACCTGTGAGCAGAGTCACGGTCTCTCCCCACGAGCCGGACCCCGCGGTGGCGGTGAGCAGGCTGGATCGCAGGTCGGGCCTCGCCTTACTCTCGGGGCTCGGGGGCGTCAACGGCAGAGAAAGGAGGTAGAGATCGGAGGTTGTGCAGGAGACGGCAAATACCATCCTATCTCGTAGGAGGTCGGCTCCAGGGCCTCCCACGTCTTCGGGAGAGCAGGGAGTCAACTGCGGAACGGCGAGGTGGTGGGCCGGGGCGCCCAGGGACAGGTCGAGCGTCTGGACGATATCCGGGTAAGGGCCGTCGGCAGCATCGCCCTCGAACTCGGGCTTATCGATAAACGGGGCTGGGTCTTTGGCCTTGGGGACAGATTCTTCGTCGTCTGAATCAAGCATGATGACATCGGCGCTGCCGTTTTTCAGTTCTTGTTGTGGTGGTGTGGCAGGTTTCTTGGTGGGCTTGAACCGTTTCCCGCCACGCCAGAGAATCCTGACACCGTTTTCGTGGGCATGAAGCAAAATGGTTGCTCCCTGCGGGGAGAGCACTGGATATGTCTTTACATCGTGGATGCGGTGGGGAAGGTTATATCTAGATGCCGAGAAGAGAATCAGCCATCGAGCGCGTCTCGCGACCAGTGAGGTCGAGCAGGGCACCATACGTAAGTTGGACATTCTGGGAGGTGTTGCGTATCCGAGGTGTAGGTTGCTGGGGCCCCATGTCGGATGGTAACTTGTGAGCCCTGGGGCTCTGGTCGGAAAAAGAAGAACTGTCGTCGAGGAAGGTAGGAGATAAGAAGAAGTTCCAAGGCTGCGGTGCGTTGGGTGTGAAAGGTGAAGGGCGACGAGCACTCAGACGACGCAACTCATGGCCGGATGACGAGGATGCAAAGCCAATGCTGCGAATACTATAGTTTCGGGCGCGAGGGAGAGGTAAAAGGTAAATTGTCGGGTCAAATGGGAGGGAGTGGGTGTGCCGGCCGATTGAGGTTTGATGTTGATGGAAGAAAGAAAGGGAAGCTGTAAGCAGGTAGGGAGGGAAGAGATACTGACTTCAGCCTTCCAGGTCACAAAAACGCGACTGGACAAGGTCGTCAAGGAGCTTCCCGATGGGGCCGTGTCACGGATATGATTGGTCGCAGGATGCAGTGTTGTGTGGTTGATGGGGAGGTTTTCGGTACTTGCTGCGAATTAATCAAACTGAGATGAGCTGTTGTATCAGGTACTTTGAGATTCGGTGTGGTTCTTCCGCTCATCACGACCGTCATCAGCTGTCAAAGTGGGACGGAGCCAGGTACGTACACAGGACTAATAAGGCAAGTTGGGGACCATCGACCATCGACCATCGACCCTTCCCTCGTCGTTGTCTTTCTTCCCAGCATATTTCGACTCTTCCAGGTTCGTACATCTCATCGCTACCTTATATTGCTGCCGGTTTCCAGGTTGGCCTTTCTTCGGAATCTTTCGTCTTCACATTCTTTGCTTCTCACCATTTTTTTTTAGCTTCCAAACCGTTTCTCGCCAAGTATCGACTCGACTCTTGTTATTCGCAGACTCTCCTCTCCGTCTTAGTGGTGTCTATGACTCTATGCCACATCTTCACCTCTATCCTCCCTCCAAGAATCGCCTGACGACTTCGACACAAAGAGGAAGAATCTATCCCCTTGTTTCTCCCGTTTCATCTTTTACGTCTCTTTCGCTTCTTTTATCTCTATGCAATTCCGGGTTCGACTCGATAGGCTGAACCGCAGAATCCTTGCCAGAAGCGGGCCTCGGCGTGGTGGACATGGTGGACGAGAAGAACGCGCCGACCTTGTTCGAGTATGCGGTGGGCGAGCCTAGGGAGCGATGCCGCCGGTGCGGGGCGACCAAGGCCCAGACGTTCAACGACAAGGCTCTGCGGAGGTGCATGCGATGCCTCAAGGTGAAGTACTGCAGCACTAAATGTCAGCAGGGCGTTGGCTCTTGTTACAAGTACGTCGAGGATACTCATCAAAAAGGGAGATGGGGAACTTTTTCCCGAGACGTCTGCAGACCCACCGTCACGGAGCGACCATGGAGAGGAGACAAGCGCGGGACCGCATCAGAAGAGACTGCTAGACTGCGCAGGTCATATGAGAAAGTGGACGAATCCCGACATTAACAGTCTTGGGAATAGAGTCAGGACTCATGGGCCACGAAAAGTTGGACCGCAGAGAATGAACCGGAAGTATGGTGAGCCAGCACCCTGTCTACCTTACTTTGTATGTATGGTTGGAAACGACTGATGGCTATGAGAGAACAGACATAAGCGGTTGAAGACATCTTCATTAAACAAACAGCAAGCTCACTTTGTGTACATTTCGAGTGACCGAGTTGCCATGTGCGAGTAATTGTCTCGAAGGATCAGGGCATTCAGCGGGTCCCTCAGTCCAATCTATGATTTCTTCTCCATTCCAACAACGGCGACACACGTGGCTCTCCCCGGTCTCTCCATTTTCCATTCTGACCCCAGTCACGTCGAGGACATCCCGTCTCCCCAACGGGGTTCAACGCTTGATATTCCGTACACATTTTACACAAACCTGCCCACTTCGGGACGCAGAGTAGTCCATGTTGGACGGATATGAAAGGACCCCTCGAATCCCCTGAGCACCCCACCCCATTCCCCAGGGCGCCGTTTCACATCCGCAGATCCAGACGTCAACCCCTCCCTCCCTCGCCAATTGCTCCGTCACAGAAACACCAGCCATCCCGGTCCCAGTTATCAGTCTCGGTAGTGTAAAGACTGGAAACAACGCAAATGGGGTGGAGGATCTTCTTCTATCCATAACGTCGGGTGATGTATAATCAGGGTCTGATTGGCGCCTACCGTGGATCGCAACCCGGAAGGGAAGGATCGTCAGGAGAGGGGGCCACCGACAACCAGACGATTGGATCAAAACGGCGGGTTCTGGTTCTCTTCTTGTCTTGGGCCGCTGTTTGTCGGGTCAGGTGATGTTGGCGGCGCCTTTCAGTCTCGTCTCCGTGTGTTTTTGTTTCGTTTGTGTGGGACACATGCAGCCGGCCTTGACGAGGGCCCTGGCAGGCCGCTATTATCACTGATGGTCCTGTGTAAGTAAGGTCGTTGCGAAACCTAAAAGCGCGTATTCTTAGAATGGGTTGCCTTCAATTGATGCTTTAACGATATGTTTGGCCCATCTGGATTCTCAGGTATTACGAAGTACGAGGTCAAGATATCCAGAGTAGAGGTCGCCTACCTAGTCTTGAGCTCGTGTGGCGAGGTGGTTGGTTTGACATTGAGCGTTTAACAGCGTCCGCCCTATGATGGTCTTCAGCAACCCCGTCTCAACTCGTCGTCTCCCAATATAGTGTACTTCACTTACTCCGTAGAACCGCTGGAGAAAGAAAAAAAAACGACGGCATGCTATACAAGCCCGCAACGATAGCCATACCCACGAGAGGGAACCGGCGAAGAACCGGGAGGAGATAATCACCTGATATGCTCGATTACTATGCCAACAAGTTTCTCCTAGATAACATCCAACATTTCATAGCCCGCCGTGACACAGCAGGTTCGGAAAAAGCACAGCACATCATCCAACGCTGGGCCAGCCTACCCCGGACACAGGAGCCAAGAAACAGCTCGACGACGAGAGAATCCGTCCAATTCCTCCTTCTATTTTCCGGCCTACCCTTTGCAGCCAAACGTCTCCCCAACGAGTTACGAAAAGGAGCTCCAAGGGGGAACAAAGGGCCCTTCCGACCCCCATCAATAGTTCTGTCATCGGTCGAGCTGAGGGTCGACGGCTGCATATGTACACACACAAAAAACAAAAAAAGGATTGAAAAGAAAAGCGGTTGCACCAGGAGCGTTTCCCAACGTCCACTTCTTCCTGCGAGGAGTTCCAAATAATTTCCAAACAGACGAGTTATAATAAATAGAGGTCGATCGAACAAATGTGGATAGATCGAAATTCGACCGGAGCCAGTTTCCTTCCACTGACAGAAGCGTCGAGATCCATTCGGATGTGGCCATTGTCGGATCGTATACCGACATTGGATTCGAATCTGCGTTGGAAAAGCCGAGACCCGGTATTTCGGGTTGCGCACGAGGGGGTAAAATCCAGCATGTTGTCGATGGAAGAAAAGTAAGGGCGACTTGGAATCTCTTGTCTTGCGACACTCCGACAGAAAGATCCTGCCGAGAAGGAATTCGAGAGTGGGATATTCAATGAGGTTAAGGAGTGGACGGCATAGGCATGGGGGCTTTTGTTGCTGGTGTCGAGCTGGTGTGTTTCGTGCTCGCAGCGATGTTCCCATTTCAGAAAGATCCGAATCATCACGAACCCTTGGAGGTTGATGTAGCCTCCTACACCATGACAAATAAAGAGACAATCCGAGAAAAGAAAACAAAGCAAAGCACAGAACACGCCTGGTCAGTCCCAAGGATTGGGCTCCTGGGGAATAGGTGACGCCCCATTCCCTCCAACGACATGATTTGACATCCATACAACGCCTTATATGCCAAGAAAAATAGAAAGTGTAAATGATAGGTGGTAGATGGTGTCGCGAGATGCTTGTCATACATGCTCACTCAACATCTCATGCGTTGGTGACCTAGAGCAGAAAGAAAGGGGGGAGAAAAGAGTCAGCAAGAGGTTCTCTGCCGAAGTGGCGTGACAGACAAAAAGAAGAGAGAAGGGGCGGATCATACCCGGAGGATCTTGCGCGAGTAATCTTGGTTGTCGGCGATGCTACCGTCGCTCAACCGGCGGTGAGCTAGGACGGGGTCCATGCGGGAATCGGTCATGGAGACGCCGCCGCTGCTACCGGGAGGCTTTGCGCCAGCAATGAACGAGTTGACGGCGGCGTTGCGACGGTGTTCCTCTTCGATGGACTGGTTCCTCCTACGGCGCATGAACCAGAAACCGAAACCAAGGAGGCCGAGAATGACGGCAACACCAACCGACACCCCAGCTGCAATGGCAGCGACGTTAGGACCGCCTTCGCCGTCGCCTTCATCGTCCCCCTCCTCCTCGTCGTCGTCCTGGGCACCCTGGCTTGCTGCGGCAGATCCGGATGCGGTCGCGGAGGAGGGAGTGGAACCTCTGGTGCTCGTCGGTGACGTGGCCGTGGACGTGGGTGACTCTTCGGCCTCTTCGTGGGGAACGACAAGCCGAAGGCCGTTGTTGTACACCGACCAGAACACGCCATCCTCGATGCCTCCGCCTGTTCCAACCCAGTCAGTCATTACATGAGTCATGTTGAGATATCAAAAACGGCCTGAAAAGGAAGGGGTCAAAAGCATACAGGCCTCCTCGGGAAATCCGGGGCATGGGTGATTGCAGTTTTCGTCGTCCACAAGGTCGTCCTTGGGAGGCATGGTGTTGCCACACCAGCACAGCCCTTCACCCATAGCGGAAATGAGGGCTTCCTCCTCAATACACAAGTCTGAGCAAGAGCCAGAGCTGAGGAAGAGCGGGATGGTGAAGTCTTCCCAGTCGCCCTTGGATTTGTAACATCCGGCTGAAGTAACAGACTCGAGCATAGGGGGTACCTTTGGCCGCTGCTCGCCTCGGGGTTCATCGTCGTCCTGAGCGACGGCGGCAGCAACCAGAAATGAGAGTGGCACTAGAGACAGCTTCATCGTAGCTATGTGTATGTGGGCGTGAATGCAACGCTGGTTAAGACGACCGGTTGGTAAAATAAAAATAAAAAAAGTTGTCTTCCCCGCGCCCTCGGATGGGTGGTAAAGGGGAAGCGATGCGAGAAACGACAGCACTCCGAACCGCGTGTCGTGTATTCGATACAGGCTAATCTCTGTTCCCTGCCCGTAACAAGCTGTTGATTGTTTTTTCTTTCTTTTGTTCTCGACTTTGCCGTCGCAGGCTGGGCGTTGTTGTTTCAAGCCACGTCAAGGCCCGAAGACACAAAAACACGGGGCGTGTGGAGTTTCGAATAGGGGCCGACAAGGACGAGACGGGATGCTGTCGAGTTCGAACACTTGGAATGCCGACTGGCCGAGAGAGAGTCTATCGATGATTGTTTTCGAAAAGTAAAAAAAGTAGTCCGATCGTGTCGTGTCTACCACGAATCGAGATTGAAACCGTTTTCACCGATCCAAACACGGCGACATCGAGGTGACTAAAGGAAGCGAATTTCGAACGGAAAGGGCCTGCTCGTCGGACAGGCAAAGAAAGAAGCAAGACAAGAGAACGAATAGCAACGCTTTGCTCTGGTTAGACAATGGAGGATGGTTGACGTTAGAGAGAGTGGGAAGAGAAAGGGATAGGGAATGAAAAAGGATAGCGTGGAATGCACAGAAAGAGAACGATTGACTGGGTTTAGGGGACCCTCTGTGTCTGTGGGAGAGAGAATTGCACCTTGAAGGGAGAGGGAAAGCGAGGGGAGAGCAGGAGCCAGTGGCTGCGTGGTCTCTGGTTGGGCTGGAACAGGCACGGGAAAGGGATAGAGAGATGAACCCGGGAAGGAGGGAACACTGCTTTGTCACTCTCGATGTCCATCCACCCCCCAAGGGAACATGAGAGACATGGAATCAGCCAGCCGGTGGAATTTTGAACCCATGTCTGCTGCGGAGAGCCTGTGAAGCGAAATGAGCCCCCACCAAGAATCATAGCCACGCCCCCAGGGGTGTGTTGCAAATTATACTGTGCCCATCGGGGCCCGCAATATGCGTGTAAGGGTCACGTGATTTTGACTAAACCTTAATATACGCACCCCAGTGTATTGTTGGTTGGCAGTGGCTTTGCGGGCCAATGACCACGTTCCGTGCCTGAGAGATGCCCCTGAAACCGACGTTTATTGGCCAACATCGTCTGTACGTACAACGTATATAATGCTCGGAAAGTTCAGGATCTTGGAAGGAAAAGAGGTGGAGCCTTGGGTACACGATACTACGGATATGAAAAAACTCGTATTGGTAGTCCTACGTCCTAGGATCGACAGTCGTCACCAGATCCTACGGCGGTGCGGCATACGAAGTGTATTTTATGCAAAACGGTCGGATTTATTGAATGCTTATCCGGTGTCATGGTACGAAAGCACACCTGGTGTTCTGTTGGCCAGAATGCCCTCGTCGAGTCTTGTTACCGTGCTACTACTGTACCGTACCTAGGTATGCAGAGCGCTCCGTACAGCTTGTCGAACGACTCGGACCATTGTCTTCTCACACATAGGACTAGAGGACTGCCTGGAGTTGAACCGTATAAGGTCTTCGTAGTTGCGGAGTATGTTTGTTCAGGTTCAGGATACATACGGAGACAGTCATACTACATAGGAGCGGGTCAGCGCATAAATACTCCGTGCAATTCAAGGGGAGATGGAGCACAAGGCAATTGTGCACAAACGGATTGCGAAACCTATTTTGTATTACTGTATGATACCTCCAATGGCGTATATTTATGGCATGAAATTCAGGTACCTTTAGTGCATGCCACACAGTGCGTATCAAGTATTAACGGGGCGACCGAGATAGGAAAGACAAGCAAGCACGAAACACCGCCAAGCAAGCGCCAAAGTCACAAATCGTGAAACATGAAACGACGGCAAAATGGCCTACACTGGAAATCCATTCCTTTTCTTCCTTTTTTCCATTTCCTTTTCTTTTCGGTGCTGTTGCTTTTTATTTCCATGTTCTCTTTTCCATGGCTTGAAATCGGTTGCCTCTTTCGTTCCGATTTTCCTGTCTTCCGTTTGGCGCCGACGATGATGGACGCAGCTCGGTCACAGCGAGAGAAAATAAGTACATAAGGTACCTGTGCGACTTGACGAAAGTCAGGTACCAAGGTAGCTTCGGAAATGGCCGCCGTTTCCACACCACCCACCAGCAAAATACGAAGTACGAAGTCTAACGATTCCTAAGGTATGAGGAACCAACATCCAGGCAAAACGGGAATCAACGGATCTCTCGTGGCTTGGAGCCGGTTCCCATTCGTTGCATCCCTGGTTTGTTCGTCGGGGGTTTTTTTTTTGGTTCGTTACGAATACCAACGATAATAAAGCAGACAAGCCGCGAGGATGAGGGAGTGAGATGGCCTGCTTTTACCTTCATTGCATGGAGTATCATTTCGCGGAATTATTTCGTACTTTCTCGAACCATACCTCGAACTAATAACCACCAGCAATGCACTGGCTGCTAGTCGCGGTAATGAGCACGGCGTTGTACAATAATAGAAACTTGCCCCTGATGAGTCGGCTCCGGCTCCTCCTCTCCCCCCCCCCTTCTTCTTGACGATTTATTTTGTTCCAAATCACAATGTAACAGCGCAGATGGTCCACCAAATTGCCCTAGCCTACCCACGAAGCACGAAGTGATTCCCACGATAATACTCCGTAAGTCTAGACCGTCATGGACAAGCGTTGTGGGTTCTCCCCGAGAGACCCGACGCCCGGTCTAGAACACTCTCTGGGCCCCTGTCAGTGGCATTGGGGCCTGCGCCTGCGTCACTCCCCGTCTGTCAGGCACAGACTATAATTACCTCGGCGAGGCTCACAACATCACTTTGTAATGGTCCTTGTGCATGGCGACATCTTCCTCGACGAACTACGTCCCCCGTGGAAGTCAGAAGCAAGTACTTCGTAGCAGTAATCTGCACTAGCATGGCCCGACCTCACGTATAAAGTACGAAGATCTCTTGTGAACAGTCGAACGACATATGGTTCCGGCAGGATGTTTCTTGCAGGTGCCTGGACATGTCCACGGACCACGATTCGTCTTTCTGGTAGAACGTGTCTTGACCCTCTGGGCCAGTGAGATATGAAGTAGGTGCTGCCAGCTCAGAGGCAAAAGATAGGTACTGCTATTTGAACAATTGGGGCTGCAAAGGCAGGCAGGCAATTCATCCATGCATCAGTGGAGAAATCCCATGCCCTGGTATCCTCTCGTTGACTTTTCCCCCGCTGGACCAAATGGGTTATGACACTACCCCGTATGTTACGTCCCAAGTGCGACGCTAGGCACCTCCAAAGTCGGCAAGATAGGAGATGTGAATAACCGCAGGGCACGGTACGAATACAGATTAGGTCAAGAGTTTGCGTTGAGTGGCAGACGGCAGAGGAGCATTTTTGCAACAGCAAGAGCTTGGTAGGGACCGATAGCTCTTCAAAGCCGACTAGAGAATCTGTCTGTCGAGGTAAGATCCAAAATCCTGTCTCGTCCGTGCGAGAAAAGCAGTTCTTTCGCCATGATGTCGCAGCAAGGAGCGACTCTGGTTGCATATAGCGAGCATGCAAGTCCGCTGAACAAAAGCGAGAGATGCCTATTTTTTCGAACCCTTACCAGTGCGAGACATGTTCCCCGTCTCTTCTGTCCAGAGCAAACATCAGGGAATCTGTCATCGTGAGACCCATCGACCCGTCTCTTGTTCTTGAACCCTTGGGAAACCGAGAACGTCGGCTGTAACGAGTGCTTTGTCAGGTAGAAAGGTACGAAGTATGCTAGAACCTAGACCCCAGAAACCCATATAAGCTTAAGTGATTGTTCGATCCTTTGGTGGTGTAGTTGAAAAATAATGAATGAGCCCGTTACGGAGATGGACACTGACTGTGATAGGAATTCTCATGGATGATACGAACTGAAATCCCTACACAACACGTAATGAAGGAATGGGCCAAAGTTAAGCTGGGAACTGATGAGTCGATAAGTCTGTTAAAGCGTCTACCTGTGAATTGGTATTAGCACGATGGCACTCAAATTCTCTTTCCTTTCCCTTTCTTCCTTCTCAGGGGATACCAGCCGAACGGTTGACAAGTGAGCTTCGTTTTTTAACCCTGTTTCTCGAATAATGAGTTCCCCATGAATCGGCAGCTATCCAGGTGCTCCGAGGCAAACCAAGGTTGAAACGGACTGATGTGTTCCCAAAGGCAGTTACGTGACGTTCTCGTTCTCATGGAATGTGGACTGGTGGACATTCAAAGAGTGAGTTGCGAGAGCGACCATCTCAAGGCGAACAACGGCCACTCTTCTTGCGAAGTAGGTGTTGCCCAAGATATGTGTTCGCTGAAGAAAAGCTGCAAAGAGACTGGACATATTCTCGCTGCCGGGCAACGATTACGAGCATTTGATGCGGTGTAAGCCGGGACAGGAGTCACAGGACGTTCGTTGGTTTGCGCCTGGCCCTTTCCCCACGAAACAGAAAACAACTCAAACAAGCCTACCATGTCCTTTGTATAAGAGACATACGAGACATATATTAGTATATCAGTGGCTTCCGCAATTCCAGGCTGGATGAAGACTCCTACCCGTCGGGTACTCCTCTGCCTGAGAGTACTCGAGTGGGGTTTAACTCGAGTTGTCCTGGCGTAATACAAGTCGTTGCCTTTGAGCCCAGGCTAAGAGATGGCCAAGTTGAACCGGTCGACGCTTAAATTTGGGCTATTTCCAATTGAATTTGCCGTTGCCCAGGCGCCCAAGTTTGTTGCCGAGTCAGTTTGGCATGGCTGATGTTGTCGAGCACCAAGTTTGTCTTCGATGGTGTGCAGGCGGACATAAGAAGGGGAAGCCTATATTCTTAGCCTCTACTTAAAGTATTCCTCCTCCCCATAAACAGAACTCCATACTAATTCAATTTCTCTCTGATATTCGTTCACTCTTCCCTTTCTCAATTCCTTGGTCCATTTGTTCAAGACTCAAGGAGGTAATTCAGTGTAAGTAGAGAGAAGATATGTGGATACCACATGTTTAACAGGATCCGGTTAACCACGGTCCACGGAGATTCATGATAAAGGCTCAACATCATGAAGATTCATAAAAAATGAACATGAGATCATTGATAAACCGACCAGTCATGACTATGGATAACTTTGTCCAAGACCGGGTCAATTGTCTGGTCTGAGACGACCATGGAATGAATGATGACATGATCCCGAGTGTCGACTGGTGAGCCTTGGTGTGAGAATCGGTGTTATGCTAGTGATGACTAAGTCGGTTGCCCTGGTAACCACACCCACCCGAGTCAACATTGACCCGTTGGGACACCTCCCGTCATGCCCCTTGGGATGCTACCGTCGCCAATTCGACTTACCTTAGATACACTTGTACTCCCTGTCCTCGTGCTTCTAGCAGACTGACAGAAGTGGGTTTTCTCGATCTCCATCTCCGTTCCCATCTCCATCTCCTACCCTCTTCTATCTATCGTCGGAATACTGGAAGCATCCTTGACTGCTTCCACTTCCATCTGAGCACATCTGCATACAAACCATCTACCGAGAGACCCTCTTCCTAAGCTATCTAGCGCTTGATCTTCCAAACGCTTTATAGGCCCCGAGAGGCCTCTCTTCTACCCATCTCCCGATCGTGCTGCCAAGTCCACCTCGACTGAGCACGACCACGAATCCCCCCCTTTAGCCCGGCAGCTATTGCTTGCGCTGCGTGAGGTAAGAGAACGAACTCGAAGCAAGCCCGGTGTGTGATGAAGACAAGGCTCTCCTCTAACAAGTATGGATTTTTCTTTCACTGTAGTTTCGGACCAACAGGTTTCCCTCGATAATCCCCCCAAATCGACCGACGACAATATCCCCCTTCCGGACTCCCTCTTGCGACACCATGCTGTCCAACCCAACCCGAAATCTCCAGGCCCGCCAACGCGCGACGCACCGTCGACAAAACTCGACCCCGTCCGCGTTCGAGGCCGCGAAGATCCCTGCCCTGCCCAATGTCCAGCAACAACGACAGAGAGCCCTCGGCCACCGCCGGGGCCTCAGCTTGGACACCCGACGCCATGTGTCTCCCGCATCCGCCCTCGGGACAACAACGACGACCTCTGGCACTCCGACACGGCAGGACTTCACAACGGTAAGTACGAATACTAACACAGGACTAGCGACAACCTCCCCGCAGCATGTGCTGCGAGAAGCGCAGCAGCAACGCATCCAAGCGTGTCCGGGCACGCATCATGACCACTTCAACCGACACCACCAGCAACAACAACAACAACAACAACAACAACAACAACATCATCATCATCGTCAACAACAACAACGACAACTCCATCTGCAGCACCAGCAGAATTTCATGTCCGCCGCCGACCACGAGAACTATCTCATCTCGCCCCACGGCACACCCCAGCATCAACGCTTCGACCCCTCGGCGTGCTTCGACACCTCCCCCGTCGCCTTCAACCCCTTCCACGGCGGGGCGCAGGGCTTGGACGCCATGATGCCGCTGTCAAAAGACCACCCAGCTGGGTTCGCCGGCTCGTCCCTCATGTCGGAGAAGGACTTGGACCTGTTCGGCCCCGACAGCGCGCTCTCCTCGCCCACGTTCATCAGTTTTCACGACAACAGCCCCGGCGCCCACCCGGGCTGGCACTCTGAGAGCGACGTCGTTAACGGCAGTGGCGGTAGCCGGAGGACGACGACCTCTCGGAGGATCAGCAACGGCATCATGGACCGGGTGGCCAAGTTCGAGGGCATGGAGGCCGCTTCGAGGCCCACGACGCCCCCCCACCAGAATGTCAACGGTAGGTTCATCTTCGGGCCGCTTGGGGAGGAGGAGGAGGTCTATGGCTTATCAGGAGGACCAGGTTACTTTCCCCCTACTCCCATGGAGACGCCCCATAATCGCATGTCCAAGCAGGACCCGGTGTCGATGGCGGTGGTGCCGGCGTCGGTACCGAGGCCCAGCCGGTTCGCCGAGGGGTACGACGAGTCCATGGAGGAGACCCTCAAGCCCGTGCGCAAGGGGTCGAGCAAGAGGACCCAGACCATCTTCGAGGAGATGCGGCAGCGGGCCGAGGAGGATGTCGCGAGCCGGACAGCTTCCCAAAGCAACCAGCCCGAGAGCATGGCCGACGGGATGACGCCCATGGACGCACAGGTGGCGACGGCCGACTTTATGAACATGAACAATTTCAACTCGGAGTTCTTGAGGATCCAAACGGGCAGAAATCTCGGGGAGGGAGTCGGCAGCGACGACGTATCTCGGCACGCAGCAACAACAGCAACAGCAGCAGCAGCAACAACAACACCGCATACGCCGCATGGTCGTTTCCACCTCGGCAACCCCTTCGAGAACAAGCCGGATCTGTACGCGCAGCAGGCAAGCGAATCACCGAGTTCCCCCTCGCACTCTCGCACCACCTCCCGGCGCAGGTCGCCGCACCGGCGCACCGAGTCCCTCGCCAGCATGGCCAGCATGGCCAGCGCGGCCAGCATCGCGGACATCAACATCGAGGAGACCAAGACGGAGACGGGGATCACGCTGGACGACATCTCGATGTACATCCAGGGCCCGGACCCGTCGGACAACAAGTGGCTCTGCCTGTACGAAGGGTGCGGCAAGAAGTTCGGGCGCAAGGAGAACATCAAGTCGCACGTGCAGACGCACCTCAACGACCGCCAGTACCAGTGCCCGTCGTGCAAGAAGTGCTTCGTCCGCCAGCACGACCTCAAGCGCCACGCCAAGATCCACACGGGCATCAAGCCGTACCCGTGCGAGTGCGGCAACAGCTTCGCCCGCCACGACGCCCTCACGCGCCACCGCCAGAGGGGCATGTGCATCGGCGCCTTTGACGGCATCGTCAAGAAGGTCGTCAAGCGGGGCAGGCCCCGGAAACACCGCCCCGATATGGATGAGCGCGTCGATAAGGCGGCCCGGACCAGGCGGAAGAACAAGTCGTCGCCCGGGTCCGCGTCGTCCCAGTCGGGGTACTCGGATACGTCCGTCGCCAACTCCCTAGAAGCCACCACTAGTTTCAACACCGACACGGTAATGACGAGCAACGACGGTCCCCGGTTCGCCGGTAGTATGGAGATGGATGGCATCAAGCAGGAGAGTACGTCGATGATGATGACGGGTGAAATTGCCGCCATCTCTTCGGCCCCTATGCCATCCGTCCGGGCGCCCATAATATCCCCTGAACCGGGTGTAGCACAGTCTCCGCCCACGGCCAGCCACCACTCACCCTACGTCTCTGCCGAGGCCATCATGGACTCGAATTCCGCAGCCATGCCGCAGTTTAATTCCGAGCCCGAGCCCGAGCCCGCAATAGCGACAGCAACAGGAACAGCAACAGCACACACGGCTCGAGGCTCGCCGACCAGGAGCACGCCCAGCCAATACAACACGCCACCGGGACTGTCCCAGTCCTCGTCGCCGCCGCCGACGCAATATTTCGACCCAGAGCCCGGCTCGTCAAGTTTCAGGGACGACGACCTGTTAGCCGACATGCGCACGACGTCGACAATGACATCGGGGGCGGGGATCTGTCCGTCCATGCCGGCGGGACACGTCCTAGACCCCAACACGAGCCTGACGAGCCTCGGCATGGGCGAGCCGGACGATGAGATGCTCATGAAGGCGTTTACGACGGAGGACGACGGAGCCTTGGGTTCCATGTCCATGGCCATGTCGTTTGACCGGGATCCCAACGTGCTCATGATGAGCAAATTTGACGACTTTGACGACGCCGTTGACATGTTTACCAATCACGATGACATGTTTTTCGGGAGTTCGTAGCCTGCCTACATGAGTTTTCCACGGTCCATCACAGTTCTGCAACGTTGTGGATTTCAGAAAAATCAAACCAAGAGACAGAAAAAACAAAACGGCGTTGTCATTAAGTGGCGTTGGGTAAGGGGATGGATTCTCATTCTCGTTCTCGTTCTCGTTCTTGTTCCGAGCCGCTTAATCTTATTGTCGTGGTATTTTGCCTTGGGCATCGATTCTCGGTCCCTTCGACAAGGTGCCGGCAGAGCGCATCGACGGACGACGGACGACGGACGGGACGACACAACAGACGAACGGACGGAAAAACGGTATAGACAATGGATTGGTTCTGCTCCCCGGTCAGCGGTCAACTGGAACTCCCGGCTTGCCCTTGTATTTTCACGACGTTTATGCCCTTCTCTCGCAATTTCCAGTGCTGTCTGCTTCCTGCTTGTTCATAGGGGAGGGCGTCACGGCCAACGTTGTGCGACGGCAAATGTACTAAGAACATCTGGGCTTTATAACTTGGGGGTCTCCGGTTCGGTTTGGTGTCTGGCATCGTTTTCTTTTCTCGCGTGTCCCGGCTTCTGCTTAGAGAATGGCGGTGTGGTGTGTGTACGACTATAGGGTAATGGGACCAATACACAGGGTGGTGGACATTATATGCGTCGGTTTCTTTCATCTGTGACTCGTATACTCGTATCGCTTTTTCCTTTGCGTGCCTGAGATAGATGGGAAGCTGCGGACATCTGTTAAACCCTCCTTCGGCTGCATGCATCGTCGTGTTGCAGTCACAGCCTGGGGTCAAGTACTGTAAATCCTCGAAGAGAGCGGGCTCCCAATCGCCATGGCCGTAACATCTATGGGCCATCAATGCCTGTCGAGTCAGTTTGACGGTTGGAGAATGGATTGCATGTCGTGCAACAGCCCCATTGTGCCATGAACGGGGAATCGACAGATATCTGGCCCACGGTCGAGATTGGGGCCAATGTCAGATCAGTCCATAGGACCAAACTAGGAACCAACGTCGACACCTCAATTGACGGGTGTAATTGGAAATCAGTGAAGATGGAATTTGGTCTCGGTAATTGCCAATGGAAGTTGTCTGGTTGTGTGTGTGTGTGTGTGTGTGTGTGTGTGTGTGTGTGTGCATTTAAAGGTTGAAGTCATCGCGAAGGTGAGCAAGGAGGACGAAGCACTAAAGATTAGTCATATCGGCTGGAGTCCGGAGTACCTTACCTAAGGTAAGGTATTAATTACAGAGTAATTAGGTACCTACCTTATTAGGTACCTTACGAACCAGGGGTCGGGAGGTTCAGGAAAGAAGGGAACAAAAATATGGGTCCCTCCTCCCTCCATACTCGGCTAACATGCCGACAAAAGGTGGTCTGTGCATCACCTCGACAACAAACAAGACAGCGACAAAAGGAAATTATACCCAAATAATTTATCCGTACCTCTCTTACCAAAACCACACTGTCCCGAACAAACCTCCGAGTTCCCGTCTCTTGGTGATTCGCAGTCCCCTCAACACCAACGTCTCCAAGACACGGGACGCGGATTGCTTCATCATTGGCTAGATTGCATGTCCTTGTCTTCCCTTTCTTTCTGTCTTGCCCTTCTTAGCTTTATCCCGTGGCCTGCAGCAGACCAAAACATCACCCATTCACTTTTCCTTCCCAACAGCTACAGCTACTCCTTTTTCCAACGACGCCTGTCAGCAGTAATCCCCCTTTGGGATCCTATGCAATGTCGGGCACAATGAGAGGAACGCCCAACCGGGCTCCAAGCCGTGGCGGTATTCCTTTTGCGAACAGCCCCTCCGGTTCCAACATCCCTCGTCCCGTCCCTGACGCTCATGCCGCCCCGAGCGATGTTGCTTCTGGTGCTGCTGGCTCTTCCGTCAGTGTGAGCCGCCAGAAGCAGAACAAGAGAGATGAGGTATGTGATATCGTGTCTTTCTGCCTTGGCTGAGGTTCTCCGATGCCGTACATTGTCACGCGTAGGCAACAATGATTGCCTTTTTTATTTTTATTTTTTTAAAATCTTTTTTCTCTTCTTTTTCCTTTCTTCCATTGACCATTATTATGCTGCCTTCTTTCTACTTCCAATACACCCATCCGACACTATCATACTAACCCGCACCTGCCTCCCAGGCCATCCGCCGCAAGATGGAAAACGACCTCTCCAAGAAGAAGCACCTTAGCGGTCGCGCCCGCCACTCTCGCAAGGCTCCTCCCGGTACCGTCCTCGCCCTGAAGCCGAGCCCGGCCCTACAGATCAAGCCCTCCACCACCGTGTCCGAAGCCGCCCAGCTCATGGCCGCCAAGCGGGAAGACTGCGTCCTCGTTACCGACGATGACGACCGCATCTCCGGCATCTTCACCGCCAAGGACCTGGCCTTCCGCGTCGTGGGCGCCGGTCTGAAGCCGAGCAGCATTACCATCGCCGACATCATGACCAAGAACCCGCTCTGCGCCCGCACCGACACGAGCGCCACCGACGCCCTCGACCTCATGGTCCGCAAGGGCTTCCGCCACCTCCCCGTCATGGACGAGAACCAAGACATCACCGGCATCCTCGACATCACAAAGTGCTTCTACGATGCCATGGAGAAGCTGGAGCGTGCCTACTCGTCCTCCCGCCGGCTGTATGATGCCCTCGAGGGCGTGCAGTCCGAGCTCGGCACCAGCCAGCCCCAGCAGATCATCCAGTACGTCGAGGCCCTGCGCACCAAGATGTCGGGCCCCACCCTCGAGTCCGTCCTCAGCGGCACCCCGCCCACCACCGTCAGCGTGCGCACCTCGGTCAAGGACGCCGCCCAGCTCATGAAGGAGAACCACACCACCGCCGTTCTCGTCCAGGACCAGGGCGCCATCACCGGCATCTTCACCAGCAAGGACGTCGTCTTGCGCGTCATCGCCGTTGGTCTCGACCCCGCCACTTGCAGTGTTGTGCGTGTCATGACGCCTCACCCCGACTTTGCTCCCATGGACATGAGCATCCAGGCCGCTCTCCGCAAGATGCATGGTAAGTTGGTCAATGCTGGACCTTTTTTTCTTGTTCCTTTTTTTTCTCCTTTTTCCTCCGTTTTTTCTCTTTTTTTCTTCTTCTTTTTGCTGCCTTTCGCTATTATTCGTAGGCTTTTCCGGATATGTTTCTTTGTCCTCTTCCCCCTTCTTTTATGACGCTGCTGACACAAACGTACGGTATAGACGGTCACTACCTCAACCTTCCCGTCATGAACGACGGCGGCGAAATCGTGGGCATGGTCGACGTCCTGAAGCTCACCTACGCCACTCTGGAGCAGATCAACACCATGTCGACCGGCGATAACGAAGGTCCCGCCTGGAACAAGTTCTGGCTGTCTCTCGACCACGAGACCGAATCCATCATGTCCGGCGAGGGCAGCCAACAGCACACCAACCTGGGCTCGCGCCTCATGTCCCCCGACCTCACCCGGGAACGGCTAGGGGATAGCGTGGCCCCCGGCGACTCGGCCTCCCACACGGGCGCCGAGTCTCCGCCCCCTTCGGAGCTCGCTCCCGGTGGTGGTGGTGGTGGTGGCAGCACCGCCCAGTCGCCGGCCGAGCTCCCCTTCCCCTTCAAGTTCAAGGCCCCCTCGGGCCGCGTGCACCGCCTGCAGGTCATCGCCTCGCAGGGCGTCGGCGCCATGGTGGCCAACGTCATCGCCAAGCTCGGAAGCGAAGCCGATGCCATCGGCGGCCCCCCCACCGCCGAGGAAGGGAAGATCAGCGGTGGCTTCGCCCTCAGCTACCTGGACGACGAGGGCGATTCGGTCTCCATCACGACGGATAATGACCTCCTCGAGTCGATCCTCCTCGCCCGCCAGCGCCGCCGTGACAAGGTCGACCTGTTCGTGCACGACCCGGAGAAGCCTCCCGAGGCGCCTGCCCCCGTTGCTGTGGTGGAGCCCACCCCTGCCTCGACCACTTCGGGTCTTAGGGAGCGCCGGAGGGCGGTCGATGACGACGACGACGAGGAGGAGGAGGACGACGAAGACGAAGACGAGGAGGTCCACGACAACAACCAGCAGACCCTCCTACGGCGGTCTCGTCATGCCCGGACGGTGTCTCCCGAACAGGAACAGGTCATTGCAGGTGTTCCCAACGAGCTGCTCCTCCCCGGTGCCATTGTGACGCTGGCTGTGGTCATTGTCGGCGTCTTCACCATCTCCCGGCTCACCAGCAGGTAAACAGGGTTAGAGCAGGGGAAGAGAGAGAGAGAGATGGCCTCGTCTGTTCGCATCTAATTTCGCGCCTGCCACCGGAGCCGGGGCTCATCATGAGATAATGAGAGGCGCACAGGGAAACTTGTACATACTATGTAATAGCATGTTTGCTTTGTTAGATCCTTTAGTACCCCCCATACTGCACGTAATACACTGCATTTCTCAAGATGTAGGTAAATCTGGGCTCATGGTGTTATCTCTGAAAATACGGGTTGCCAGATCGACCAATGCGCCTGATGCCCCGAACACACGACGGATAAATAGTATCCCAACGATTCAGCAAGCCAGGCCTTCTTCCCCTCTCCCGGGGATTATTCGGAACGCGAGCTGACAATGTCGCCAGTTGCTCTTCGCTTATTACCAAGCGTCAATGCGGGCGCGAGACAGACTCGATTGCTTCTGGGTATGGAGATGACCATGACAACTGTATGGAGTAGGACGATACGATTCTTCGCGAACCTAGCACGAACGCTTACCTACTACATCAGACTGGCTTTCCGAAACAAGGAATGTCGTCCTTCCATGAGATTTCCATGACACTCCTCATCGCCCCGTGTGAAGTTCAGGGTGCGAAACCCCCCAACGTCACCCCAGCTTCCGCGCGACGGCCGTCACTTGACGATATGGACTTACAAGAGATCTGGAAACGTCTCACACAAGGTCTCATCCTCGCCAACGACGATACGGTACGCAATGCCGGCGCAGCGTTTCGCCGCCGCACAGACGTCAGGCGCCAGCTTCGCATACGCAAGGTACAGCTGGAGGAACGCAAACGGCGTCCAATCCTCGCACTTTCCCCATCTCACGACCACGAGTCCGGGCGGCTCTCCATTGCTGGTCAGGGTTGTGGCCGCAATCTTGAAGCCGAGGCATTCTAGGCCACGCACAACCATCTTGATGGCTTCTGCCGGCTTTCCCTTGGCCAGCAACGCGAACCCCAGCGCGATGTACGCATCACGCATCTCCAGCCGCGGTACCTCTGGCCATGCAGATGGGTACGTCTTCTCCATCTGCCCGAGCAGCCTTTCGGCCTTGGCAGGATTGGATTCAATGCCGTCCGGCATGTTCTTGAGGGTCTCGAGCAAGTTTCTGCGATTGTTGAGAGCAGATTTGGAAGTGTCCTTCCTGCTGAGGCACAGGGCGCAGCTGCAGCGAAATCCCCAAGCGCTGAGACCCTTCTGGACATCGTCGTAAGACTCCAGGACCTCGGGGCTTCGGTATGAGAAGAGAAGCTCCGTGCCAGCAGGGAGATCGCTGGCCGCCCGAACAATCTGCATGTCGCCGATAAAGGAACGCCTGCAGTTCCCCAAGCAAGAGTGGTTGATGCGAGACGCCAGCAGCCAGATCCCACAGGTGGCGAACTTGGCTTGGACGGACTGCTTTGACGTAGTATCCTCCGAGTTTCTGGCCAAGAACGACTCGCGAGAGGTTCTCGGGGACCCGAAAGAGTTGAGCCAACTAACCGTCTGCACCAGAAATCTGGTTGAACCATTAGCCCAAATTCTCTCTCAGAGAAGAGCATCGACGCCATCAAATACTTACGAGTCGACCACCGGGAATCCATCCATCTCCGAGACAGGAGGTGCAGCGTAGTTGCCATGGTAGAGCTCGGTGTACTGCGCCAAGGCAGTACGGCTATGATGTAGCTTCTGCACGAGTTGAGTGAGGAGGCCAGCCTGTCCACCCATGGAACCTTTCTTGGTGGACATATCCATCAGCATGGCTGTCCTTCGGGGACCGTCTTCATCAACGTGAGTGTACTCGAAAGCCTTTTCGCAGAGCAGGAGCTGACCAGCTGACACTGCAGCGGTGGTGAACAGGCCGAATCCACGCCCAGGCGATGTGCGTATCTCGACGAGACGCGAGAACGTTGCGCAGTCGATGGCGGGAGGAGTCTGCTGCGCCTGCTTGTACATGTTGCGGAAGTCGTACTCGCCGGTCTCTTGCTCGAGGAGCCGAGCTTGGGTCCGACCGAGCTCGATCTTCGCCGCCTGGTTCTCGGGGTGGCATGCCAGAAGCCTTTGAAGTGCGCCAAGACTCTGCTTGAAATCTCTCAGCTCATAGAGGGCGCGTGCCTGGCGGAAAAGGCCTTTCTCAGACGGCGAGTCTGTGTCGCTGGCCTTCTTCGCATCGGACAAGGCAAGCTCGGGACGTCCCAGTCTGAGATTGGCCAGAGAGCGGTTCAGATGAGCTAGTTGGATCTCTTCCGTAGTTGAAGCGGTCTGGATGGCAGCAGTGTACCTGCGAGAGTCAGCCTCACAATGGCCATGTGCTCGGATCACTCGTTCGCAACTCTCAAGCGGCAAAGCCGAGTACTCACAAGCGCTCCGCGACGGCCCACTGCTCCCTCCGTGTTGCTTCGTTCCCCTGCAATCGAATGTGCTTGCTCGTCTGCCCATGCATCAGAGGCCGGGACCTCCATTTCGAAGGAATCCGTTCATCGTTGCTCTCAAGCCGAACAATGTCGCCAGGATGGTCAACCCTCAGCGAGTAGGACCCATCGGTGGCGCGTTTGAAGAACGGCTCCTTGAGAATAAACACGTCGTCGGGCTGCAGAACTTCCTCCGCGGGGACCATCGACTCGTCCGGCTGGTGGTACAGCTGGAGCACTACAGCAGTGCCCTCTTCATCTTCCACAATTGTCATGACAGCCGTGATGCGATTCGGCGGCGTTCGGACACGAATCAGGATCATCTTTCCCCGATGGTGCGTCTCCAGCCTCATATCGGATATGGCCATCGGCTCCAGCTCGCTGACAGGGCGAATGCAAGGCGGATAGGCAGGCGGCAGCTGGGATAAGGCCATGGTGTAGTTGTTTCGGAGAGACGACGAGGCCATGGAAGACATGAGCGAACTCATCATGTGCTTTGAGATCAGTTTTTCAGCAGGAGGGTGATCTCGCACCAGTTGGCCCTTCATACGAAGTGCCTCTTTCTGGCGCCGCTCTACTTGGCGCAGGTGAGCAAGGAATTGGCTCTCGTTTGATATGTCCTGGGTGTCCATGATAGCCAGGCCGTTTGATGTGATCCGATGGCGTGTTGAGCGAACGTCGAGATTTCAGAACGAAGGGATGAACACGTCAGTTCGAGGGTTTAAGCAGACGAGCGGGTTGAAGATCGGGACCCGGGGGGGGGGGGGGAGGTGAAGTTGATGGCTGCGCAATCTGGGGAGAGCCCTCGGTTTTCTAGGGACTCGCTTGGGGGGCCTCCCGCAGCGTTGGTGATGCTGGGTACGCTGACCTGGAGCGAACGGGGTGTTTGTTTTCTTGAGATCCCCCAATCACAATCTGCAGGGCCTCAAGGCTGCCGGCAGTGTTTGCTGCCTCTGTCGCCCTCTATTGAGCATGGACATGGAGTGTTAATGTTTCTTTCGTGTCGTTTGCAATGCAGTTGAGTTGCTCTGAGAAGAACAGAAGATATTGGAAACGGAAACTGTTTAAGATGGGCCGACTCGGGGAGGTAATTTATCAGAATGTTTGGACGTGAGGCAGGTGAGTGAGGTAGGGAAGGACCAGTGATGGTTTGGCACGTGACGCTTCAACTGAAGGGGGCATTGCTGCGGTGGGAGGCAGCTGGAACCACGCGGACAAGGCCGGTAGGCACGCAAATAAGGCAGCACCGCACCCCAATGAGTAGCCCAGCTAATAAAACAAGGAAGGAAAGCCTCACAGCAAGCTAGAGAGATCGTTCGCAATACGGGTCAACGAGACATACGCAGGGTCCGGCTTTGCCGCTGTTGCAGCGTTTTGAACACGCAGTCTTTCCGGTTCTCGTTCAACTGCTTTTGAGGTAGCTGGAATTTATACAAGCATTATTCCATAAGGTAAGGTAAGGTACCTTAGGTTGAATTGACTTTCACCAGAGCAGTAGACGTGACCAACTCCTCAGCTAGATGTCCATCGTGAAGATCAGGTAATCATATGAGCCACGTAGTCACGTGACTATACATGTCCTACCCGTCTTCGGACCCACCTACGGACCCACCTACGGACCCACTCTAGTTCCTGCGTCGGCATGTCCAAAAATTGTTCCCCAACAACGGACAAGACGAACGATGTCCCAAGCCCAGCAAACCAACCCAGACAAGAGATCACCATGATCATACGGAGTGTAACCCGCCGGCATGGTAAGTCCCATTCCCTTCTTTAATGTTTTTACATCCGTCAGGGACGCATCCAACAATTCTGACTCGTGTGGACTGTAAAAACAGGCGCCAGGGCATTGGCCTCGGCCCTCCCCAGACCATGCACACGGTTCATCTCACAAGACACAACGACGACAGGCCTGACGCCCGAAGCCCTTGAATCCGTGACGACAGCGGCGGCGCTCAACCAAATACCCCAGCAAGCCAACGGCACCCCCACGCTCTCACAACACAAAAAGGACAACCGGGCCGAAGCCTTCAAGGACTTCCGCCGGCTGCAGAAGCTGACGTCCTCGCTCGGGTCGCACGTGTCGCGGCCCTACAACCCGGAAGACCTGGTCAAGGACCCGCCCGCGCCAGAAGAGATCACGCTGGAGCTGCTGATGGCGTCGCAGACGCACATGGGCCACCACACGTCGCGGTGGAACCCGGGCAACGCGCGGTACATCTACGGGGTGCGGCACGGGATCCACGTGATCAGCCTGGAGGCGACGGCGGCGCACCTGCGGCGGGCGGCGCGCGTGGTGGAGGAGGTGACGTACCGGGGCGGGCTGGTGCTGTATGTGGGCACGCGCAAGGGCCAGATGGAGATGGTGACGCAGGCGGCGGCGCGCGGGGGCGGGTGCCACCTGTTCACCAAGTGGACGCCGGGGGCCATCACGAACCGGGACGTCATCCTGCGCGACCGGGAGGTGCGCATGGTCAACGAGGTGGACCGCGAGGTGCCCGGGCTGGCGACCCATGTCCGGGACCGCAGGCCCATTACGCCCGACCTGGTGGTGTGCCTCAACCCGCTGGAGAACAAGACGCTCCTGCACGAGTGCGCGTTGGTGTCGATTCCTACGGTTGCCATCATCGATACGGATGTTGATCCGTCGTGCGTGACGCTTGCCATTCCGGCCAACGATGACAGGTATGTTCTTTTGTTCTTCTTAGGAGAAAGTTGGCTCATGTTATCTTAACGTAAAACACAGTCTGCGATCTACGGCGCTCATCGGTGGAATCCTCGGCCGAGCTGGCCAGATTGGAAAGAAGAGACGGCTGGCGGATGCCGAGAGCGGGGTGGTACACTGGGAGACACCGACTGATACGCAAAATTTCATTGACAACGAAGTGCGCCGCTTTTTGCGTGCGCAGGGAGAATGGGCACGGGATTCGACGGCGGAGGTGAACGCGAAGGGACGGACTGCCGAAGACAGGCTGTTGGATAATATGGGCGAGATGAACGAGGAGGACCGGATGAATATTGTGGGAATGTAGGGTGTTGGGCCATGTACGAGATGTACTATAGTATATCATCAGAACCATTGTATAAGAGGGGTTTTTTTTTTTTTCCTTTCCCTTTTCCTTTTCCTTTTCCTTTTTTTTCTTCTTCCCTTCGTCTTTCTCCTCCCCCCCTTGGAGTCGCGTCTCCAGCTAGCCCGTGAATCCAGCCCATTAACCAGCTCCGGATGAGTGGTACTATGGTTTGTAGAATATGTACAAAAGCCGCGTACTATAGTAAAGGGGTACGTGACAATGCAATTGTCAGCACATAAATAAGGTACGCAAAAGATGTGTGTGTGCATTGAAGCAGAGTAAAAGGTACTCTGTGAGAATGTCTAACTATAGGGAAAATCTAGGGGAAATGAGTGTGGATACATAGGAACGAGGTACTCCACACGTCTGACACAATGTGGTATGTCACACCCGGATAAGGAGGCTGTGGGCATCTGACACCCCCCCCCCCCCCCCCCAACTGCAGGATTGATCCTGACTGTCAGAACACAAATAAGGTACGCGGAATTATGTGTGTATTCATCTAAGTGAAGTTTGTGATACTTCACGGGGATATCTAACTATACGGAAAAAGCAGGGGAAATAAGGGTGGATATATAGGAGCGAGGTACTCCA